AGCTCACATCCATGTTTAGTCTCCTGAATCCAGAAATGCCTCAGGCGCATATCCATCTTTAGGCTCCCGGATCCGGAAGTTCCTCAGGTGCCAAACCATGTTTAGGCCCCCGGATCCGGAAGTGCCTCAGGTGCCCGTCCATGTTTAGGCCCCCGGATCCGGAAGTGCCTCAGGTGCACGTACATGTTTAGGACCCCTGATCGCAAGTATCTTTTGATAGCAAAATATTCCTGCTACCTTCCTCCTTTCCTTTGTACTATTGCTGTTATTTCACTTGAGCTTTAATCACCAAATACATTGTTACTATCAATACCATTTTGAATTATTTCTGTCAGATCAAGAATAAGAACAAAAATGTTTATCTTACCTTCATTTATCCATGTTCTGATGCATTTCCCTTCTTTAAGGTTCTGAATTATATCATTTTCCTTCTCCCTGAAGCATTCTTGAAATATTTCTTGTGAGGCAAATCTAGAAGCAACAAATAACCTCACTTTTTATTTAAGAAAGTCTTTATTCCTCCACTTGTAGAGGACCAGTTAGTGGGATACGGAATTCTAGGCAGGTGTTTTGTCTTCTCTCCTCACACTGCCAACTGAAGAGGAATCAGGCTGTAGTATGAGCAAAGGAAACATTTATTTGAGAACAGAAATTGTACTTTGAGCACACAGCCAAAGGTGGAACCAAGGCACATTCGCCTGGGGGTCCAGGGAGAGGATCTGTAAGGGTCCAGTGGACAGGAGCCTGACCTTCCTTTGCTTGTTCTGAACCCTTTGGATTGGCTGATGGGGCTGAGGGAGAGGGTGCAGGGGAGTTTGGGTGCGGTGACACGGGCTGCTGACTGGATGGACAGTCAGGGAGTTTGCTTAGTCACACTCACTCGCTGGTTCACCTTTCAAAAGGACAGAAACAAGGCAGAGCCTGCTGTTGGCTTTAGGCAAGCTCGGCAGTTTTCAATGTTCCCCGTCCTCTCTTCTCACCTGCATCATTTCTGAGGAGCCAGATCCAATGCTCATCTCTGCTCTTCCTCATAGCTGAGGTGTCATTTCCCTCTGTCTTCCTGCAAGACTTCTTCCTGTCCTTGACTTCCACTCACAGGTGACATGCCTAGTACGAATTTGTTGTTTCTGCTTTCACATTTACCTGCTTGGTGTCCTTTGAGCTCCTGAGTTCTGTGGTTTAGTGTCTGACATTAACTTGGGGAAAATTCTTAGTCATTGCCTCAACTATTTCTTGTATTTATTTCTCTTTTTCTGATATTGCCATTATACATGTTAGACTTTGTAGTTGTCCCTTGGATATTCTGTTCTTGGATATTCTGTTCCACTTGTTTTTCTCTCTTCAGCTTTTTGTTTTAGAAGATTCTATTCGTCTAACCTCCAGCTCACAGTCTTTCGACAGGGACATTCGTTTGCTAACAAGCATATTAAAGAGGTATTTTTGACCTCTAGCGTCTCTTTCTAACTCTGTCTTCTAGTTTCCGCCTCTTGGCTTACCTGAGCATCTCTTCTTGCATGTGGCCTTGCTGGTTTTTTCTTTAGAGCCCCTGGCCTAGTAATCACAGCTGTTTTCAATTCCCCATGTCAGTGGCATGTCAGTCTGGATCTAGTGCACATGCTGACTTTTCAAACTCTGTTTTCTGCTTCTAGCACACCTTGTAACTTGTCCTTGAATACCCAACATGCCATCCCAGGAAGGGGATTTAAGAAAACCCATCCCAGGAGGGGTAAGCTGTGGGGAGAGGAAGCTTTCCCCAGTCCTGGGATTAGGTCTCAGTCTTCCAGTGGTCTGTGCCCATAAGACGACTAGAAAGGCCTGAAATTGGGCATTTTCCTTCCCTGGGTGGTTGAGCTATGATAAACCCCAATAAATTAGTTTCTTGGGTTTTTTTTAAAAGATCTAATAAAAGCTTCTTGTGAACGGGCCTTGTTAGGAAGGCCTGATGTGTTCCCAAATGGTTCCTTTGAGCACCCGGCCAAAGGTGGACTCCAACACTGTGTGAACCTGGGAGAGCTCCTGGAGGCAACCTCATAGAGCATGGCACCCCTTAAGACCAGGGCCCCTGGGCATTCTAAGACACCCACACGGAGCCTCCAGCAATTTGTCAGTTAAGTTTAGGTTTTCCTACCTTGCTACCGATTTCTGTGAACATCCCTGCACAGGTGGCAGCTACATTTTAGAGGTAGATGTGACAGAACTTGGGCTTGTGCTGGATATGGGAGGTGAGGAGTACCTTCTAGAATGGCTTCCAGTGACCCCACATCTGGTCCTTGAGCCCCGTGGGATTCCCTCCCTGAGCATGGGCTGGTCATAACCAGCGGCAAAGCCATGGTCTGCCACTCGTGAGGTGAAGCTGAGAAAGACCACTATTTCCATCTCTCCAGCTCTGTCGCTCTGGCTCTTCCTGTGTGCTTGTCCTGCAAGGGAGGGCCCCTGGCAAGGAACGGAAGGTGGCCTCTGGCCAGCAGCCAGCAAAGCACTGAGGCCCTCGTTCCAATGGCCTGAGAGAACCTGGGTCTTCCAGCAGCCATAGGATTGGGTCTGGAAACCAGTGGTTCCCAACTGAGCTTTCAGAGGAGACCACAGACCTAGCCCACACCTTGAGGGCAGCCTGTGGAGGCTGGGAGAGCAGAAGACCCAGCTAAGCCAAGGTGGAATCCTGATCCCAGGAACCATGCGCTTATACGTGTGTTATCTTCAGCCACTAGGCTTTGGAGTAGTGTGTTGATTCTGTGTCCCTAACATCTGGCTGAGACACTGGGTGGGCCATGGCTGTGGGAGTCTGGACTGCTTTTCCATGACACTAGAGATTGTGGTTTTCTCCCAGAGTAGTGATTCCAAAACATGGGTTGGCCTCGGGGGCAGGAGGTAAATCAGGCCTTTCTTTTTACTTTCAGTGGGATTTAAGAAAACCGAGTCCTCTGTTTGGTTCAGTCTGACTGTCTTGGATCCTACTCAGGTTTGAAGCCCCGGCTAACGTCAAGTGTTAGATTTACTTGCTGGGCTTTCATATGGCCTTGAAGAAGGAAGAGGTGGCAAGGCACATTTACAGGATTCCTGTTTCACTGGGCCATATATCAAAACAATGTGGCATTTGTGAATTGAAAGGTCTGAACAGCGGGTCTTGTCCTGGCCCAGCCTTTCTCAACAGGGTTTCCATATTGGCCCTTGACCCATGGCAAATTTTTGTTTGTGCTGCTGTGTGCTGGAAACCGCAGTAGGGTTAGCAATGTGCTTCAGAACCTGCGGCTATCATGTCCACCCAAGACAGCCTCCTTCTTATTCCAGATGCTCTGAGGTGGGTGCCACCTCCCCTCTCCCGGCCCCATTGGGAACCAGTGCATCATTTATGTTTGCTCACCAGCAACATCTGTCACCCATATTTTGAGCTTGCATCTGCCATTTCCTAGATGCCTGCTTGAGGGTTCAGGTTATTAAATATTCTTACTCCTAGGCATGTGAATGCAATGGATTGCAAAAGAATTAAGATAAGATGCTATTATGAGAAAAATTCAGAATATAATTGAATTTGAGATGATTAACAAGGCAACTTAGAACCTTGTGGACACTCAGGAACATTGTTATAACGAGTGTTCTTTCTTCTGTGACTGTGCTGCAAGGAGAGTCAATAGACAGCTGCTGTCAGTTCTTGCAGAATAATGGGAGGATGTGTGCAGATGTTTCCTATCTGTAACTGGGGAGGCCCTGGAAGAATAGGTAGGAAATCCTGACCTTGACCTGGTGATTGTGGCTGTTAAAGTCTCCAAAGAATTAATATATTCTATAGATAGATGGATAGCTAGATAAGGGAGGGAAATGCGGATGGATTTAACCCAGGGATGCTTTACCTCTTAGCATCTGTGGAGTCGTTTGTTATGCAACAGAACATCACTACTCTGGGAGGTAAAGGAAGAGAAGGGTTCCCACCTAATTTCTGGCCTGAGTAACTGGATAGCTAGAGGTGTCCAGATTCCAGAGGGAGAAATATTCCCATCCCTTTTTGTTTTTATTATTCCGAGACAGAGTCTCACTAAGTTGCTAGGGCCTAAGTTCCTGAGGCTGGCTTTGAACTTGCCATCCTCCTTCCTCAGCCTCCGGAGTGGCTGGGATTACAGGGTGCGCTACTACGCCTGGCACACTGAGTCGTGGAGTTGTTCATCTCAAAGCTATGAAAGAATATGAAATTCGCACTTACGTCTATAAGATGAACTATGTTTTCTTGTACTAATGATCTCGGGGAACTCTTAGTGGGCACTTACTGTGAGCCAGACACTGTGCTAGTTCCTTTGAATGTATTATTTGGTTTGGTATCTATCCACAGAATGCCTCTGTAGTGAGCAGCATATCATTCCCATTTTGCATTCAAGGAAATTAAGGCTTAAGAAAGTTCTGCAGATTGCTCAGGATCACCAAGCCAGTATTGACAGTGTCCGATTTTAAATCTAGACATTGAAATTCATTCTATCATTTCTGTATGCGGATCTAGAGTGCTTTTGCCCAACATACTTGTTGGGCAGCACCGTGTGCAGAGCCGTGCGCCGGGCAGACAGGACAGAGATGTCCACCCCCCCCCTCCCCCGAGCAGATGTGGCTGTGCTGGCAGCAGCGCGGCTGGGTGGGAAACGCATGGGATAAATGGATCAATGGGCGAATCATCGTGGCGACAGCGAATCAGATGGAAGAGTGGCGGGAACGGGAGGTAAGTGAGTAAGCGAGTGGATGAGCAGATGACCAAATGAATGGATGAATGGGGTGATGTGTAGCCGGCACTACCTGAAGTTCCAGCGCCCGGCGGCTGGGGTGGGCGGACCGCGGGCGGCTACTCCACACAGTACGGTAGGCGAGGGCCGCTCCTCCCGGAGCCCTCGCGCCTCCTCCTCGCCGCTCTCCTCCTCCGCCGCCGCAGGCCACCCGCCGCCCTCCTAGACCCCAGTCCCTGGCCGGCGGGCAGAGGAGGCGGCCGCGGCGGCGCAGCGCTCGTCCCCTGCCGCTGCCGCGGGGCACGCCGCGATGCGCAGAGGGGCCGCACCGCACCATGAAGCTCCGCAGCAAGGCGGCGGCGCTGCTCCTGCTCGCGCTGGCCGCGCTGCTGCTGGCGCTGCTGTCCCTGCGCGCCGGCCGCTCCGAGCCCCCCGCACCGCCCGGGCACCCCGCGTCCGCCCCGCAGCGCCACCCGGCGCCGCTTCCCGCGCGCCCGCCGGGGTCCCGCGCCCTCCCGGGGGCCCGCCCGCGCGCTCCGAGGCGCAGGCCCCCGCGTCCGCGTCCCCGAGCCGGCCGCCGGGGCGCCGGCAGCCTGGACAAGTTGGCGAGGTGAGTCGTGGCAGCCCCAGAATCCCATCTGGGGACCGGTGTCTCGCTGCCTCCACCCGCGCCAAGTCTAAGGGAGGCTCTGGTCTAGAGGATCAGACTCCAAGTTTCCCCGCGCGCTCCTGTCCCTCTCTGTCCCTCTCTGCCAATGAAGCAGCAGCCCCTCGGTGGAACCTTCAGGAGCCCGGGCTGGCAGTGACCTACCTTTTAGAAGAAGTGTTAGGGAAAGTGGTTTGTGTATTGCATTTTTAAACGGTCAGGGCAAAGCGAGGGTTTGTCTTTCTTTTTCTTTTTCTTTCTTTCTTTTTTCATTCTTGCAAACATACGCCCTTTGTTTAATTTTCAAAAAGTCATCTCGAGGCAAAAATGCCTTGTCTCGTTCTCACGTTTCGCTGGAGCATTTGTCCCGAAAACTCAGGTCTGCTTGTGTGGGAGAAGCGCCGGTCCCTTCCTCGGGCCGCGAGAGCCGGTGCGCAGAACCGAGAGGCGCTCCGAGCGCCCGGGTGTGCGGAGTCTGCTCCCGCGGGCAGGAGTGCGTGGCGCCGGGAGGCAGACGGGGCTCCAGAACGGTCCAGGGGCCCGGCAAGGAAAGCATCTTAACCATGGGCTTTATCGATAGTCTCTTTCCCGACACCAAGTCAAACACGCCGGCTTTTCGTCGGAGCCTTGGTCTTTGGCGTTAGGGCTGCTGGAAGCCCGCAGGTCGGGGGTTTGGTCGTTCCCTTTGTTGTGGGGAGCTGTGGAACGATCCCCGCCTGTGAGGCTGTGTCCTCTGCTGTTCCAACTGCCCTTGCAACGTCCGCATTTGCTGGGCTCCTTAATTACTTGAAACGAGTTGAAGAATTCTTTTTGACCATAATGACTAAGTCTGTTTGGCGCTTTTACTGTAACTCCGAAGACAGGAAACCTCAAAAAGTAGCTGTGTCAGCTTTTGTTTCGCTTCTGCCTCCCAAGTGTACAGATGGGCGCCGACAAGTTCTAGGCAGGGAAGCCCGCCATCCTGGAATCGCTTTTAAAGTATCTACACTTCGCAAGTTCGGAACCTCCCAGGTCTTTAAAATAAGGGTATTTCTATTAGGAACGTGATAGGATTTTCTCTATTGCATTTGGGTTTTACTGCAAGTAAAATGTCTGAGTTTGAGACACCTTGTAAGACAATAAGAACTGACACCACTTGGCACAGCTATGTGCAGTATCAAAATGACATGTGTAGCTATGTAGTCTATGCATAGCCCACTGAGAGTGGATCAAGCCTTTTGGGGAGGTGCTGGGAATTCAACCCAGGGCCCTCGAGGACTAGGCAAGCGGTCTACCTCCACCCCCCCCCCCCCACCTCTCTCAAACTTGGAGACCAAGGGCATCAGTGTCATCTGAAGACATGTTAAAACGCAGATTCTCAGGCCCCAGCCCAGCCCTTACAGAGTCAGAAGCAAAGGGAGTGGAGCCAATGGTGTGTGCTTTCACATGCTTTCTTTGTTTTTGAAACACATCAAAGTACTCTATGATGTGAGCATTAGTTTTATCCCCATTTTAAAGGTAGGGAAGTGTCACATCCCACTTTGTCCAGGGCTCCTGGGTAACAGGAGGTAGGTAGGATAAGGAGCCAGGCAGCCTGGGCGCAAGGTGAGCTCTTGCCCACTATAGTGATGTCATACAACAGTCTGGCCTGCGAGTCATGGTTTTATTGAGATTTTTCTGAAGAAACGCCATAGCTTTTTGAACTGTTTCATTCTTCAAGGTGTTGGGAACATTGGGGCAGCATCTTCTTGTCTCTCTGAACAAATTGGCTCTGACTAGGAGGAGATCATCAACGGAATCCAAATGGGTGCTGTGGGGAAGGAGCATTTCCATGATCAGCGGCACCCTTGAAGCCATTTTTCTTGTGAACATATCTCTTAGATGATCATGGAAATCAGGCCCAACACCACAGGAATAAAGAACGGAATTTACAAACTTGGGAAAGATTAAAAAACAAAAAGCCACAGGAAGTCTCAGGCTCAAAGGCATAAACAGCTGCCATTTTCCAGGACTTATTTATTGTTTTTTTTGTTTCTGTTTTTTTGCTACCTCAACAGAAAGTATCACAGAAGGTTCTGAAGCAGGAGGAGCAGGAGGACAAACATCTGTATGGACTCCTTTATTGCTTTCCTAATTTTGCCTGGGTTAAATTTTTGTGGTTTAGGAGGAATTTCATTTAGGGAGGGAAGAGAAAGCCTCATGGTTTCAGAAAACAAGTGCTTTAATCTCTTTCTGTGGCCAGAATCCAGAAGAGAGGGAGGCTACGTGATCTCATTTCTCTGGCCCTGGGAGGTCAGGCTTGTGGCTGCAGAAGCAGAAGGCCTGGAGCTGGGAGCGACCCAGTCCACCACCTGCCGACCATGCGTGCCCGGGACTGCCTGGCCTCTCCAGGTCCCTCGCTGGTGAAGTTCTGCCACGTCAGCACAGGAAATAGCCCTCTCCTACCACATCTTGTTTTCATTTCGAAGTTTCCAAGGACTTGCCTAGTTAGCAAGCCGACCCTACAATTTTATAACTGTTCATTTGTGTGCATCTATCCTGCGGTGGCCTCCTTCTCTATAAATACGAAAGTGGGAGGCAGAGTCAGGGTCAAGGGCAGTATCTGAAAATGGACACCACACTGAATGTAGCAGTCCTGGTGCCCAAGAGAAACAGAACCTTCCTTCTGTTTTGGTTATTGGTGATTTATACCTGGCTGACTTCCAAAAAAGGATTTGAGACAATATATAGTAAAAGACACACAGACAATAAGACCATTGGAAAAAAATTTAAAGATAAAAAAAGAGGGTGAGTAAGTGCCATTTGTCAAAATTGAGATCACTATAATTAGGAGGATTAAGTGTTAAATTTAGCTTTAAGCTTCCTGGCAGCCATGTCAAAAAAGGAACCATCGTAGGGGCCTCATTTTCAATGAAGGAGAAGAGGAAATGTTTATTAACAGGGTTTTTTTTTTCTTTCTTTTTGATGGAACTGAATTCTAAAATGAGAATTTTACTTAGGAATAGATTTTAGACTTTAGAAGACTAATCTTTGTACCTGACTTCTGAGAACTCCTCTTTGAGCCTGTATATGAAAAAAGAAGTTTAATTTAACTGGTAATCAGCATAGTATAAAAAAGAGAATGACCAGGCATGGTGGTGCATGCCTGTAATCCGAGTGGCTTGGGAGGCTAAGGCAGGAAGATCTTGAGTTCAAAGCCAGCCTCAGCAAAAGCAAGGCCCTAAGCAACTCACTGAGACCCTGTCCCTAAATAAAATTCAAAATAGGGCTGGGGAGGTGGCTCAGTGGTCGAGTGCCCCTGAGTTCAACCCCTGGTACAAGAAAAAGAAAGAATATGGCAAATGGAGCCCAGCAAATTGGGTCCTGGTCGGAAGCCATCACACCTTATTTCCTTCCTCTGTAAAATGAGCAAAGGCTTCCAAAAGTTTCCTCAGATCGCCTCCAGCTCTCACATTTGTGGTCCTGGGATGAGGTCATCAAGCTGAGCAGCAAAGTCCCACCTCTGCCAGTTGCGTGGCCCTTTGTGCTAGCTCTTGCAAAATCAGTTTCTTATTTATTGGCTCCCGCCCAGAGCTCTCGCTGATTGCTCAACTCCAACCCGCTCCTGAACTTTATTCTTGTTCCTCTGCATTGGTTTGGACATTGCTGCTCTCACTTGAAGAATAGATTCCCAGGGAAGCTCCCGCCACCTCTAGGCCCCGCGGTGTCCCCTCTGTTCATGTGTTCCATAGTGGCTCAGCAAATGTGTCCATCTGCCAGGCATCACTGTACAATGGTGAGTGGTGTTGCTATCCCTCCAGGGTTTGGGGCAAGAGCAGACAACCCAGAAACACGTTAGGTACCAGTTGGCGGCTTCACCAGCTGGTCCATGGGAGGAAGTGGGCACCCTTGCTCATCAAGAGGCATGGTTTCCTGCAGTGCCCTTTGGTCTCTGAGCTAAATCTTCTCAGGGAGTTCAAGCCTGAAAAAAGGTCTCAGCAGATAGGGGTGATGTTTCCGTGAAGAGCCTCTGTTTTTGTTGACTGGTCCATGATTGGTCCTCTCGTCCCCATGCCCACCCAGTCAGGAAGTCTTCCTTAGGTGCACGCTCCAGCCCAGCACTTCTGCCCCTTCCAGGGCCGCTACTGAGTGACTAGCCAGTCACTCTACTTGGCCACTGTTGCCACCTACTGTGGTTTGCGTGGTTCTGTTCTCATGCCCCCAGTGCGCCATTTCCATACAGCTGCAGCGATGATCTTAAATGAGTGGCCTGCGATGACCAACTTCTATCAAGCGAGGAATGTGGTTGACTTTTTCAGTGCTGTTTGAGCCCTGCCTGACCTCAGCCCTGCTGAGCTCTCTGGCCTCATCCCTACCACTCCCCACTCGCCCACTCCCCGTGACCCCCACATCCTGGCGTGGTCAGCTCCCGCACTCCTTTCAGGTCCAAGTGCAAATGATTCCTCCTCAATGCGTCCTCCCAGGCGCCCAAGGAATCACAGCCCTTCCCTGCGTTCTCTGCTTCCTCACCCTGGCCGGGGTTTTGTTGTTGACCACACTCTGCGTTATCTGGATATTGTATTCTTGTATTTTCTCCTCCCGCTCCATGTGCACTTCCTGTCTCACTCATCCCTGCTTCACTGGCACCCAGGAAGACATGACCTCAGAGGAGGTGCTCAGCAAATGCTTGTGCAGTGAACTAATGGACCTCCGTTGTTGACGTCTAGTTCCTGCATGATACACTGGCCGCAGCCAATGAACTCATGTCATACATGTTGTCCACGTTCATTCCGATGTCCTTAGTTCTACCTGATGTCCTTCCGGTTGCGGGATTCTATTCAGGAGACCATATTATACTTAGCTGTCACTATCTCATAGCCTGGAGTTGGCTATGACAGTTTCTCAGATTTATCTGTTTCTAACGACCTTGACATCTTTTGTTCGGGCTTGTTTTTGGTTTTTTTATTGTATATATTGAGGATCTTGGTCTGGTACTCTTCCCTCTT